GTGAGACTCTTCCTTTTCCCTTTCTTCTGCTGGAGAGGCCCTAGTCACATTGATCATCCCAGTTCCAATATTTGCTGCTGCACACAGTTTCCCTGGACTCACCCAGACAGACCAGATCACTCCGGCCACTGCACCATCATAAGTCCCCAGGTCTGCATCTATCTCATCGTATTGTAATCCTTTGATTGTCTGAGGGCAGTCATGAGAGGTGCTATTCTGTGAGAACTACAAATAGGAATTGTAAAATGCTCACGTAAGATGAGAATACCTTGAAATCGTTTAAGCTACCGTCACATTGTGAGGTCCGATGGGAGCCATCTCTGGCAGCACATGCGCAAGCACTCCCTTTGGAGGCCCACAGCTGCTGGACTGAAAAGAGGCACCGCACTGGAACCCCTCAGAATGCCACAGAGCCTTCGCACCTTGTGGGCACCTTCATTAGGAAGATTCAGCAAGAGATGGGAACTGCCCTCAAAATGCCTTTTAAATGAAAAATAACGGCCCCGTAACAGGATGCCACTCACCTAGTGTAATTGATGCTTTCTTGGCTCTTAATTGCAAAGATATGCATGTCTTGGCTTAATGCACATCATTATTTTGTTTATTGGGCCTAATTATTAAAACCATCTCCCAAGACTTGTTGGGACTAACGTTAGCACTGGATGGGTCCCAGATTTAGCATTATGCCCGTACAGAGTCTTGGAAGTGCCTGGAACATACTGGCACTGGGTCAGTATTGGTTCCATCTGGATCTGTTTCCGATGCTGAGTCACGTTTCTAACTTGGTTCTGAGATGCCTGTTTCAGAGTGTCTCCAGCTGACATGACAGCCAGCAGGAACAGGCATCCAACACCACACCAAAAAGGCCCAGCCAAAAAGGCTCTGCCAGTTTCTGGGGAGAACCTGTCATATTGCACAGGCACTGATTGTCCCACTGAAACCAGCACCTCAGTCCCTGGGAGAGGGAGGCCTGTGACAAGAGAAAGTTCCTGGATACAGTGGGTAAGACATGCAAGTCCTTATCATTCAAAGCACTAAAATCTCTCTACCATGAAGAAAATGGGGAAGGATTACACATGTTGAGCTGGCTGACCAATTAGTAAGACTAATAATGGTAGTTTCTGGTAGCACGATAAAACATTTGGTCAGGTTTTCAGAGTTAAGAAATGGGTTTTTTAGAACCTGCATCACCTTTGTTTTGCCTCCAAGCTGCCAGGGAGATCATTGCCACCTGCCACATCTATTGACTGAATTTACAATTAACCCAGGGAAAGACCCAGCCCAGATCTGCTCATTCTCCCACCAGCACTGCTTTCCGTTTTCACCAAGCATTTGACTTATTGGAGAGCCCAGAAACTTTGCAAAAGTTAGGAGCAGTCAGCATTTCATAATCTTTGCCAGTTTTTCTGACATCATCCTTTCTGTCGTTTTACAAGGGGCATTATCTTCACACCTGAAAATTTCTTTTTGCTTTATTATAGAAGGAAACATTTCTCTTTTATTAAAAATCCCCTTTTATTCTGGAGGGGATTGAGAGGTAAAAATGTAAACAAAATATTCAAGTTACAATCTGGAACGTACCACTTTCTGTATCCTGGAGAAGTTTTACAGATTATTTTTATTTATGACATTCCTGTAAACTTGTCAGGACATCACAGGGACTCTCCCTCACCCCATCCTCCCAGGCAAGTCTAGTCGCATCTCTAGCCTTGCCCGCATCCTGCGTGCCCACAAAAAATGCAGGTGCTCAGTGCCACCTGTGCGCACACATGGATATGCACATGGCTATCCAACTCTTCATTTACAATCAAACGTCATCATAGGGATAGAGAAAACCTAGATATCCTCACAAACATGAAGGCATGAATTGTGGTCTACCTACATGGGGACTACAAGGAGCAATACTCCACAGCGAGCATACGAGGCACCCGGGAGCCAGACCCAGCAGTCTCACTTTTAACAAGCTCACCTGGCGAAGTTTTACTTTGAGAGCACTCCCAGAGCTCCGCCTGTGTGCACAGATGCAAATAAGCAGACACGGGGTTGCCAGTTCTCTTACTATTAAGCTAGGCAGGGGCTGGGCTGATGTACCTCACAGTCAAAAGCTGGTTTTGCTTCCAAGGAGGAAAACTATTTGTATCTGGTGTTCCTATGGTATGGGATCAGTATTCTGCTATTTAAAAATATTTTGGAGAGAGGAGAAAGACCAGAGAAATAGCAATTAGATATTGTCTTCATATCTTGTTTATTACTTTTATAATATATACTCTGATTACTACTCTAGAGTCTAGAGCTCAAAAATAATCTTGACTATTCCTCTGATTCATCCATCTACACTACTTCCCTTAATTCATATCATCACACAGTTGAGTTTTTATTCTTCTATTTTTTCCATAGCATAATTTATTCTCAAACTTGCCTTTAGTTTATAGGCTACTGAGAGCCATCACAGATAATCAAAATGTTTTTCCAAGTAGCAAGTCCAGATCCTTCTTGTGTAGTATAAATGCATTTCTTTAATCTTGTTATATCCCATTAAATCCTCCATTGATACCTAAATGTTTCTCCTCATCCATCTCTCCATTTTCCTGGTAAAAGAACATCTGTTCATAAATCAAATAATTTAGCAGTTAGAAAGTACAGCTAAAATTTATGACAACCTATTCTAGTGCATGGGCTGTGTACCCCTGTGGCATGCAAGATAATGTATGTGGCACAGAGACCTGGCATTAAATAATATTGAGTCACAGAGTGAAAAGGTAAATTCCTCTCAATCATCTTTCAATCTTCCCAATTCCATTTAGGAGAGTCTCTATTGAATGCTAGTGTGTTTTTGATGCCTTCTAATACTTACTAACATCCCTACTTAATGTCTACAGAGCAGGCCTCAGGGTCAGAGCCTTTAACAGCAAACATATCTAGTGAATACTTATTAAGATCAATTAATGGTCATTGTATTTGAGGTTGTTTTCTATTTATGATGAAAAATAACAAAAATTAAATATATCTTTAAAATGAATACTGTCTCTAAATTAACACACATGTACATTTTATATGGTTCCTTTTAGAGCTAATTATACTGTTTTAAGACAATAATAGAGAAACAAAGGATAAAGAAAGGTAAAGTTTCCCAACTGTGGAATCACCCACCTAACATCCTGGGAATCCCATACTCTAATTACTAATCTATTGGCAGTCAGAACAGTTATAACAGTTATCTAGAGAAGAATGGTTAAGACAAAGAATTTCAAGTCTTTGTATTTCTTTTGTTTATTGACTTGAGAGAGGAAGGCAGAGGAAGAGAGAGATAGAAACACCAATGATGAGAATCATTGATTGGCTGTCTCCTGCATGCCCCCTACTGGGGATCAGGCCTGCAACCTGGCCATGTACCCTGACCTGACTGGAAATAGAACCATGGCCTTCTGGTTCATAGGTCAACACTCAACAACTGAGCCACACCAGCCAAGCACCAGTCTTAATATTTCTTACAAAATCTTGTTGTTCTATTTTTTCCTATGAATATAAAAAGTAGCTCCAAAAAGGTTTACCTTGATATCCCCGCTATGTCTTTTCCTGACAAGGCCTACCTACAACCTGGTTTCATTTTGCTATAATATCGCAAATATTATAAATATAAATCCTAATATAATACTTAGGATTTCAAAAGATGCCCTTTCCTTGAATATGCAAACAATAAAGCAAGAGCTTCTAGAACAAAGAAGCTTTCATAGCTGTTAAGAGGGTACTAAATAGAATTCAGACTTGCTGATGGTTCAGTTCTTAGTTCTGTCATCTTCTTACTCTTGGGAAACTCTACAATGTTAGAAGGTAAATCTATATCCTGAACTTAGTTTTACCTAAGAAGTAGTTTGTCCCTTATATTTGTCCACCAAATTTCAATACCAACAACACTTCCCTTTCTTCCTACCATGCGGAGGAGATAAATTTCATCCTCAACCTGGCTCCCTGAACTGAGCATACAGAGTAGCCACTGGATCCAAAAAATAAGTGGTAATGTTCCGCCCAGATTCTTTAGTGTCTGCCTTCAAACATCATATCTAAATCCATGGACTGCTAGTGCAAAATGGTACCTTATTTTTGAAAGCTAATTTGGCAGTATTCATAACTTAATCCTGGTATACACATAATTTGGCATCATGTATCAACATCCTTAAAATTTTTATGTCCTTTGACTAACAGAAAATAATTTAACATTCAGACATCCATACAAAGACTTTTACAAAGATATTTACTATATTTTTACAAGTGAAAAATTGAAAATCTTTTACTACTTACTGTCCAAAAACAAGAATTGGTTAAATAAATGTTGCTACATCTATAAGGTGAAATTTTAAACAGCTATGGTCAGGGTTGATATTCTCAGAAGGATTTTTAGAATAGCATATCAGAAATTCTCATGCTACAGTTTAAAATAAAATAAATGCACAGTATGATCTTAACTATGTATAAGAAGGAGGGGAGAGACATATATCCAAATATTAACACTGGTTATTTTTATTCCTTTCTTATGTTCTAATTTTTATCCTACCGTATTTTCCTGCGTATAAGATGACCTCCCTAATTTTACAGTTAAAACATAGGTTTAGGCCTATATTCGCTGTATAAGACTACCCCCCACTTCCGAGGCAACACCAGTTCTTTTTTTTAATAGACCGCCTCTCTGATTCTGACCAATCTGAGCAGGCTTTTTACTAGAACACAGTGTCATCTTATATGCCGGAAAATACGGTATATGTCTTTCTGTGTTATAGAATTTTTTTTATAAAATGCATAAGTAAAATTTCAAAAATTAAGATACAAAAGCAAACCACCAATGGAGCAATTGGTGCTTTCTGTGTTTTTGTGTTCACATGCTGTTCTCTGAAGTGTTGCTTTCGCTAGGGATTTACCCTATCCATTCTCCGACTGGAGACAAGGCAAGACCCCTACAGATGGGCGATGATGAGAATCTGAATGAGGTCTCTATTCTTTTTCAGCACACTACAGTTTTGCCCTTTATATTGATCGAGATGAGGACATCACACCATGGGTATCCCAGCAGGAGCAGCGGACTCACTACCATATGTACCTTCTCTCTTGGCTATATATTATGGTAAGGACAGTGCCTGCTGGGCTTTCGTACTGTATTAGATTTTGCACTGCTAAATTTGGGCACATATTTCATTATGGATATAATCACTAACAGATTCATACTGCGTGCCTCATTTGGTCCAAGACCTGGGCTTTGTCTCATTTCCCCAGATGCTTATATTTTTAGAAAGTATATGCCAAACCTCACACAACAGGAATTTGTTGAACAATCCCATGTAAGCAGTGGTTCTTCCAAGGCTACATTTTTTAACTCTTTTTCAAACTAAATGTTGTTCTTGGACACCAATTTTATTGCTTAAGGGCTTTTTTTGCTTGGGATTTTTTGTTGTTGCTTTTGTTGGGGAATGGGGCAGTTGTAGCAAATGCAAATAAGGACGGGAGAAATGACCTCTTAGAGAAATGACTTTAAACTTCATAGGAAACAAGTGAAAATAAACATGAGTCAGTTTAAAACCTATTCCAAATTAGTTCTTACATATAGAATGCATTTAGTGGGTTTGTTTTTTTTGATTGGGGTAAATCTTTAATTTGTCTATTGGGCATGAATAAGTCCCAAGTGGGAGATTCCAAATTTATCTGATAAGAGTTTTTGCCTGATGAGTTTATTACACATTAATTGCAGTTTTTACCATGTTTTTATGTTTCAAAATTATTTATCTTGAGATAGAAAATTTCTTATTTCTCTTTATAATTCCAAGTTCTCTTTGATATATTAGCTTACACAGCAGAGGTCTCTCCCACCAGCATTTCTATCTCACAGGATTCTTTTGCCCTCAATTATAGGTCACTGTCCCCTCCTTTAAGCCTGAAGGACTGAAGAACCTTCCTCCAGCACCCCCTCCCCAACTGTACTTAATCCCATCAAGCTCCTGGAGGGCTTTGGACGGCCCAGTATCCATGGAGCATTTGGCTCCAGCCAGCCCAGAAATATAGAATGAAGGTCAGCCCAGGTCCTTGCATGAATGCTCACATAATGTCCCAGATCTGAACAGAAAGGGAATTTGCTTCTAGGAAGTCACACTCTATGACCAGCTCTAAGGGGACATCCAGACTGCTGACCTCAGAGCAAACGTGCAGTAATGTTCATTCCATCTGCCAATTCATGGACTAGTCAAAGACCATTTGTGAGGGGACTGGGGACCATTTGTTTTCCTAGTCACTGTCTAGATTTTCTTTTTCCACCTAAAACCTCACGTATTCATTTTCTCTGACAGGAAAGCTCCAGATAATCAGGGCCCATGGGTCAAATATGACTGTGAAATTACATCTTAAAAATTCATGTGCTTTACACATATGAACTTGGTAGTCAAATGGCTCTTACCTTTTAGAAGAGCCATGTGGGGAAGCTACACAATTATTCAAGGATACGGCAGTGTTCACAACATACCTGGGAGTGCCTATAGCATTTAAGCCTCAAATGCCCTTTGCTCTTCCCTCCCAAAAACACGTTCTTATTATTTTGCCCTCACATTTGCTTACCTATGGGAAGGGAATTTTTTTACTCTGGGAACACTGGATATATTTCCACGAATTCACTTATATGCCGTTAAATTATCTGAATCTTGTAAAGCCCCAGAGGTTGCAGGAACTACATACTTTCTGATGGTTTTTCTTCCACTAGAGGTAAAATCTGTCCGAGTTTCAAGGAGACATGTGGGAAATACCACATCGTCTTCATTATAGACCCCCAAGATCCCTCATTAAAATGAAGCATTACTCACGCTCTTCATGCCAAGTGAGGCTTGCCAGTGCTGTGTACTCCTTAAGCAAACCAGTACTTGTTTAGACATGTATTTGCATTAACTAGCGAATTCCCTCAGATATATTCTGAGAAAGTTTTCCAAACAGACTTTTCTTTGGTGTTCTGCCCTAGGTATTCATAGTTATGCCAAGACCTAAACAATGTCCCACATATCATGTCACCTTATATAAATCCAAAGATTTTAATTGTTATAAAAAAAAAAAAAGATGCTGGTTTTTGCTCCCTTTCAGACTATCTCAGAGCTGATGAACCAGCAGAAGTTCAGGATATGAAATCTCTTAATAGCATACCAGGGTTGTGACTGGACATTCCAGAACCTCGTGCCAAAATGGAAGAAAGCATTCCTCTTATCACATGCTAGATATAAAATAAATAGATCTCCCTCCCAATTCCGGTATGTGCGAGTTGAACCTATACCTTGCAGGCTGCTGGCCAGGCTGGCTCTCTGCTTTGCTCTGATTCTAGCTTTCTCTTCATCTCACAAGTCTTCCTCTCTCTCTGAATCTGTTCTTCTTCTAGATTTAGATAGTGAATGTTGACAAAGTGAGGGATACCAGAACTTTCTCTCATATCCCGGAGCCCATTGAACTCACACCCTCAGTGGCAATGACTAAAATAATATTAATCTTCAGTATATGTAAAAAACAGTACTTATCACAAAGTGGGTACCATGTTAATGTTATCCATATAAACCGCTCCAATATAGTTTATGCTTCATTATTTTAGAAAACTTTTGCTGATGTCATGAGTGACTTCTGTTTTGCTAAATTCCTTGAATGCTTTGTAGACCTTTTCTCAATGGACATTTCAGTAGTTTCCATACTGAAACATTCCCCTTCCTGAATCTCTCTCTTCCAAGTTACATGATATAACAATCTCCATGTTTTCCTCCCATTTTTCAAAATTGATCTGTCTCCAAATCACTTAATGGTTCCTCCCACTCTATCCAAACCTCTGTGTTGGAACTTTATGGAGCTCAGCTCTAGGTCGTCTTCCTTTTTTTAAATTTTTTAATTTTTTTGTGGTAAGAATACTTAACTTGAGATCTATCCTCTTAACCTAGGTCCTAGGTTCTCTTCTTTTACTACCTACTGTCCCTAGGTGAATCCATTCACTCTGCAATTGCAACCACCACCATCCCAGATCTATATAGCTCAGAGCTCTCTCCCAGTATCTATTCACAAGACTCACACACTTAGCAACTGCAAAACAAATTCATGCAGCACCTCCTTTCCCAATCACACCCTCAAATTGTATCCCTTGGCATTGCCAACCACCCAACTGTTCATGCCAGAAATCTATTATATGAGACATCCTCTTCTCATCTCTCTTAGACCTACCGACAATCTTTCCTCATTTCTAGCTTTTATATCTTTAAAGTACTTTAGAATTCTTACACTTTGCTCCCTCTCCACTGCCAACACCATGGTTTGAGCTTCAGTTATCTGTCTCCTGAAACACTGAATAGAACTGGCATTTCCCCACAACCACCCCTATTCATAGGACCTTGTGTGACTTTTTAAAAAACACCTGTGATCATGTCATCCCCTTGCTCAGAGAGTATGGATGAATTCTCATTGCTTCTAGGAATAAAGTCCAATATTCCTGAACCTGGATTATAAGACCCTGCATTACCTGAGCCTTCCAACCTCTCTAGCTCCAGCCACAGTGACCTTCTCTCTGATTGTCAAGTGCAATACATTCCTTCCAATTCAAAGCTTTCGTCTTCTCCACCACACAACTCTTCTAACCCAGTTATGTCTCCCACAATTAGTAATCCAAATCTTACTAATCCTTCAGGTCTCAGTTTACATATTTCTTTTTCAAGGAGACCTTCCTTTCCCTGATTCTTGAGACTTGGCTCAGCCTCTCTGTGGTACAATACTATAATCCCCATTGGTTTCCATGTAGTGAGTTAAAAAATAAAGACAGTTGTTTTATATGGTTATTTAGTTAATTTTTTTTCCAAAGTTTGATACCCAAATTCCCTCCCCTCACTATCTAGAGCAAGAGAATGATAAACAATTGAAATAATCTTAAAGAAAAATAAAGAGAGCTTCCTTGTCTATAGTTTTATAAGGGTTAATATAAATATTTTTTCTTTAGACATCACCTCAATCAAAATGTCACAGAAAATGTTCTGAAGATAAAATGCTTAATTGTGACAGTGTGTGAGTTTAAAATACAATGAGATAGCCGAAACCGGTTTGGCTCAGTGGTAGAGTGTCGGTCTGCGGACTGAATGGTCCCAGGTTCGATTCCAGTCAGGGGCATGTATCTTGGTTGCGGACACATCCCCAGTGGGGGGTGTGCAAGAGGCAGCTGGTCAATGTTCCTCTCTCATAGACGTTTCTAGCTCTCTATCTCTCTCCCTTCCTCTCTGTAAAAAATCAATAAAATATATTTTTAAAAATAAAATAAATAAAATGCAAGGAGATAAAGGGAACATTTTTTTCAATTATATATATATATATATATATATATATATATATATATATATATATATATATATATACTACTATGTTCCATTTAGCTCAATTGTTAGCCATATAAAGTCTTTACAATAATTCTAGCTTCAATTTCTGTAATATTGAATTTCAACTTTATTGTCTTTTCTCCCACCTGCCTAATTCATTTAAATTGCCCACTGAACCTGATAGACTTGTGAGAAGAATCTCACAGATTCGTTTCTTGCCAAAGAGACATCTTATATGGGATATGATCCAATTCAGGCAATAAAAACATTTCAAGTAGAGGAAAACCCATTTATTAGCCAAATTATAGCCTTCTCATTTTCCTGAGTGAGCCTTCAAGTTGTCTCTGAGAGTATTCGAGCACTTAAAAGCTCTGGTAGACATGGGAGGGATTGTGAGAACATCTTTAAGGTGATCCCAGTCCTGCCCATTCTCACCTTCAGCAGGTGATTTCCACAGCCTACACTAACTGGGAGGAAAGAGTGCCTTTCCCAGCACCCAGCAGTGCTGGGATCCTAAAAGGCACAAAATAAAAGCTGATTGAAAATAAATAATTTAAATGAGGAAATATTTGCACCAGATTTGGTTTCCCAAGAGTCAAAAGAATTTTACAGCAAAAAGACCTTTTGCTTGAGATAACTTGGAAATGGGAAGAGAAATGTGACCTAAAATACTACGCGTATTAAACTTTGACTTTATACATTTAAGTAGACCCATTTCCCCAGGAATCTTCAAAGTAAAAGAAGGAGCTACCATGTTTCCCCA